TATATATATATATATATATATATATATATATATATATATATATGTGTGTGTGTGTGTGTGTGTGTGTGTGTGTGTGTGTGTGTGTGTGTGTGTGTGTGTGTGTGTTTAAAGTTGTAGCAACATTTCGGCAGAATCTCATCTATCATCAGGCATATACACACATATACATATACATATACATATACATATACATATATCTTCATATGTTTGTTGAGTAATTAATCTGCTCTCTTCCAAATTTATCTGGTTTCATGGCATCTGCAGGGGGCAAAAAGCAACCTTTATATATTTATTAAATGTATATGCCGCCTGCCTCACTATCCAATCTCATACATGTTATGACACCATTGCAAAAATGATACCTTTAATCTCATTGTGGATTCTAACTGCTGCCCAGCACTATTTTGTGCTTGGCTTTCCAAATAAATTTCTACTGTTTCTAAGTCATGGAAGTGTTGCAGAAGGAACAGCCTCCACAAAGCAACACAAGGCCACAATGAGCAGGGGAGTAAGCAGGGTTCCTCACCCTTTTTCTCTTTCCTGTCTGCCGTAGGCTTCCGAAATTGGTTCAGAAGACAATGAGACTGCTCACACGTCCACCACAGTCATCATCAGAGTGGTAGACCTTAATAATCACCCACCCACCTTCTACGGAGAAAGTGGGCCACAGAACCAATTTGAGGTGACCCTCTATGAGCACCCACTGGAAGGCGAAACCTTGAGGGGCCTCAAGATTACGGTCAATGATTCAGATCAGGTCAGTGAGGCCTCCGACATCTTTCTTCCTCCTCCTGGTACCAGGACTGGTTCACACAACTTGCCACATGCTAAAACCTGGTTAGCAAAGCCAAAGGATCCCATCTCTTATAAGCATGTGAACATAATGCATCACACTGTCCTAACATGCTATCTGGGTCCAAAAGCACAAGAAAATCAGTTAAATAAACAGGCAATCAAGCATGCAGAATCTGAAATCATCAACACCATTTTAGCAATTGTAGAGCATGTTGGAAGAAATCCAACTTGGAAAAAAAAAGATATCATTAAATTTAAACCACTGTTTAAGGCCATTGCTTGCTTTCCAAGCATGACCTTCCATGGGATGAGAATCAGGTTACTAAATACACAATATGATGTCACTGTATAAGCTCCACCCCTGGCATGTTTGCATGGCAACATCACAGGCTACAGGATGGAATAACAGAATAACAGAGTTGGAAGGGACCTTGGAGGTCTTCTAATCCAACCCCCTGCTCCAGCAGGAAACCCCACACTATTCCAGACAAGTGGCTGTCCAGGCTCTTCATGAAAACCTCCAGTGATGGAGCAGCCACAGCCTCTGGAGGCAACTCGTTCCACTGCTGAATTGTTCTCACTATCAATAACTTTCTCCTTAGTTCAAGGTTGTTTCTCTCCCAGATTAGTTTCCATCCGTTGCTTCTTGTCCTGCCTTCCAGGGCTTTGGAGAAGAGGTTGACTCCCTATTCCATCAGGATGTTGTTGTGCACCTGGGGAGGAGATTTGACTTCTGTGTTTCCAGGCCCAAATTTGGAAAACAAATACTGGACTTGACCAGTGTCCAGTAAGCCTTGTGGCCTTTCTTAGGGTCGAGATTGCCCTCTTTTGACGACAGTAGCACTAATTTGCTCCATTGCTTGGTGAAATATATGCATTATGCACTGGTTCCTTTTCTCATTTTCTTGCCCAAATCCTTCTGCAAGTAAGCCATCCCAGATTGTGACTTTGAAAAATAATCCTAGCTTGGGTAAGCACTGCTTCCTTTAAGCAGAGCAATGGGGTTCATTTGCATAATCATTTACTGAAGACCTCCCAGTGCTCTGCAGTTTCCCCCCAGAAAAGGTGATAAGGGTTGCCATGGAAACCTTCAAGAGTAGCTTTAACCTGAACTAGCCCAAGAAGAAAAACCTCAAATTTGCTTACTTAATCTACACGTACTATTTGCAATGATTGAAAATCAAATCTAGTCTATGGACAAGAGTTCATAATTAAGTGTTGGCCCAATGTGACACTATTTTTTTTTAGTAGACTTATATTCTCTCTTTATTTTGGGCCACTCAAAATAATTCAACTTATGTCTCCTAATTTTTCTCACATAACAACCCTGTGGTGGGTTGGACTGAGAGAGAGGGACAGGCCCAAAGTCCCCCAGCCATCTTCAATGTCCCTCCTTTAACCACTACACCAACTGGCTATCTTTAGTCCCCGTTATTTCACTGTGCTTCGCTCAGAGTCACCCTCATGAGATGGACAGCTAGAGAAATGTGATAACTAAATAATAGAAAACCCAGGGTCCTTCCTGAAGTGAAAAATAACAACTTTTGGGACAAAATTTCACAACTGTTATTGTAAGGCGCCCAGAGTCACCCTGAGGTAAGAGGTGGCTGGTAAATTTGATAAAGAAATAAATGCATAATAAATAAACTGTTGGTGCTCCTATGACAAAAAGTAGCCCAATGCAAATAAAACTGCATCCTGAAGCGGAGGCTGCAAAACATCATTATTCTTGGTGCATTTTGGCCTGATTTGTTTATTGTTGATCTGCCGGGGGTAGACTCATCCTGCACCCTATAAAACAAGAAGCTGGCACAGTGCTTTCGGTTCAGTCTTGAAAAGGTACTTCAGAGTGTGGAAAAGTTATTTAGCACTTGACTGTGTCACTTTAGCACTGATGATGCATCTAGCACTGATGATGTTATTACTTTGGTAATGAAATGTTTGCAAGAAAAGCACCAAGCTCAAAGAGCACCAAAGAGTCCCTACTCTCTTTCTTTCTTTCTTTCTTTCTTTCTTTCTTTCTTTCTTTCTTTCTTTCTTTCTTTCTTTCTTTCTTTCTTTCTTTCTTTCTTTCTTTCTTTTTTATTCTCCTCCTCCTCCTCCACTCTGCAAATCCCACTCCTTACTAACACTGATGATGTTACCATTAAGCTTAGCTCGGAGAACAGCAAGGACCCCACTGTGTCACTTTAAAGTAGCTGCATTATTTCCTGGGATCGTACAGGAATCCTGAGGGAAATAAATTTGGGTGAGGTGCCCATTGCATGTGAGAATGAAGCATAAAGAGAGAAGACCTTGTTTATGGACACAGCCGGCCTGAGATGTGGAGCAATGCTCTTTTCGCATCACCATAAACAGAGCCAAATTCTTTTCGCACCTTTTCTTCGCAGGGAGCAAATGCTAAATTTAACCTCCACCTTGTCGGGCCCGGTGGAATTTTCCGCGTTGTCCCTCAGACAGTCCTAAACGAAGCCCAAGTCACAATAATAGTGGAGAATTCTGCTGCCATTGATTATGAAAAGTTCCAGGACTTAACCTTCAAGGTATTATGATGGCTTTTACTTTCTTTTAAGCTTGAATTTACTTTTTTTTAAAGCTTGAATTAAAAAGGGTGGTCGGGCTCTGATTTTGCTCTTCTGAGTTCATCCAGGTCACAGTTATCTCAAAGGGGCTTTTCCAAAAGGCAGCTGGATTTTCTTGGGTGTTTCCCTTGAAAACATTTCATTTCTCATCTAAGAATCGTCTTCAATTCCAAATCCAGTTGCCTTTTGGGAAAGCACTTTAGGGACTCCCTTGATTTCAGAACTTCAAATCTTTGGAGAAGAACATCAGGAAAAATAAAGATTAAATACTTGAGAAAGATTCTGAAACTGAAATGCTCACAGACCAGATCCACATATTAAATTTTACACACAAAATCTAGATAATTCTGTTTGAATATGGTGGGACCTTGTATTTCTAATACCCTTAGAGAATACCAGGGTAATTCATGGCCAGGTAGCCACATATAATGCATGGCAACAGATGATGGCTTTGCCCTATAACTGTTTGAACACCAATGTTAACCCATTAGAAAGGAAAGCCTTTCGTGTGTTTTAAAAGAGCGAATTCTTACTCCTCTGTTTACTGCCTTAGCTCCTTGCAGTAGAAGTGAACACACCTGAGAAATTTAGTTCAACGGCTGATATTATGATTCATCTCTTGGACACAAATGATAATATCCCCAAATTTTCATCTGATTACTACATCGCCAAGATCCCGGAGAATTCTCCCGGGGGTTCCAACGTAGTTGCTGTAACTGTACGTATCCTTCATTCTTTAAAAGCCTTACACCTTCCTTAACGGTCAGCCTATTAATACACGATACAAAATAAATGTTAAGACCCTAGAAAACATGCAGAGCAGAGCAATAAAGAGGATAAGGGGCCTGGAGGCCAAACCATATGGTGTACAATTGAAGGAACTGGGTGTGTCTAGACTAACAAAGGGAAGGACGAAGGATGACATGAAAGCAGTCCTCCAGTATTTGAGGGGCTGTCATGGAGAACAAGCGGTCCACCTTTTCTCCTGAAGGCAGGACAAGAAAGAATGGATGGAAGATTATTAAAGAGAGAAGCAACCTGGAACTAAGGAGCAATTTCCTCACAGTGAGGACAATCAACCAGGGGAAAGGCTTGCCTTCAGAAATCGTAGGGGCTTCATCACTGGAGGTTTTTAAGAAGAGATTGGACAGCTACTTGTCTGGAATGGTCTAGGGTCTCCTGATTGAGCAGGGAGTTGGATTAGAAGGCCTCCAAGGTTCCTTCCTATCCTATCATTTTGCATTCTGTGTTCCAACCTAGTGTAGCTATTTGGCATCATTCTCTTCAAAAGTGCCGTCCTTTGTTCTATTTATTGTCACCTCTAACTCAATGGACATAGACATGAATCAGATCCAGTCAGTACCTCCTGCATTTTAGGAGGCATGGTAATCTCCCCAAAATTTGCAAAAAGAAGCAGATACATAACAGCAGACTCCTCCTCTTTCCCCGAGGGTAAATTATAGTAACCAGTTGGGTTGAAGAAGTAGCAGAAAGAAAAGTTTCTACCCCAAAATTGTTCATCCCCTGAAAAATAACCATTTCAATACCTTGCTATGCACTTACATGTGAACTGATATTGAATCTTTAGTATGATCCATTCTGCAGCAAAGTAGGCAACAATTTTCAGAACTGTATAATATGACTCCCATCGTAATCATTTTATCTTCTTCCTCAGGCAATTGATCCAGATTCAGGCCTCTGGGGTGAATTAAAATACTCCATTTACGGAACAGGAGCAGATCTGTAAGTTTGCCTGTTTGCAAGCATAATGTGCCAATTTGCAAGCATATGTATCCTCATATAAATACATGCAATTTTAATATAAACAGAATATTTTAAGGGAAAATGCATATGTGAGGAGTAACAAGAGGAAAGAAACTTGCCCCTCATATTCAAGTAGGATAATTTGCATTCCTATTTCTTTCCAATCTTATTCTAATTTGGGCAAGGAACAAAGAAGTGTTCCTCATTCCCTTCTCCTGCTCAGATCAAATGTCTACATCTAAGTCTATTATAAATCTATTATTTGAAATGAAAGAGGGACTGATAGTTTTTCTGAACTGCAGTCTCCAGATTGGAGCAGACAGCAATGAGATAGTTTGAAAGACATTAAATGCAAAACCTGCTAGCTTTCAATGCTAGAGGATAACGATCAGTAAGAAATAATCTTCACCCTTTCATACTCTAATCTGTAGATCTGATGAAGTGCATGTTTCATGCTGCAGTTCTCGGTATTTCTTGCTACCCTTCTCAAGGTCTCCATTTGGAGTATTGAAAGAAAGGAAAAAAATCTCCTTAACATTCAACTCAAGATGGGTTCGTTGTGTGAAGACTTCCTCAACAGGAAGTTTCCATGACAGTGTTGCTTCCCATCAACTATCCCATCGATGATAGATAGACAGATTAACAGATGATAGATGATAGATAGATTAGATAGATAGATAGATAGATAGATAGATAGATAGATAGATAGATAGATAGATATAGATGGTTTTCCTCCTCAAGTCGGTCAACAACTGGACTGCCTTGTGTCTTTCCGTTTTAAAAATGGCTTTTGCAATTGTTAAAAAACCTCAGTGAGTCTCAAATCTGAAAGAATAAATTTATTGTGGTGGTTTTGAAGGCTTTGTAGAACAGGGGGTTCTGTAAAAAAATTAATTTTATGTTGCTTTGAATATGCTGAAAAATGATTCAAGGGATATGCAACTAAATCGGTTAATAGATCATCTCTAGCCTCTAATAATATTGACAATCGTGATTCTGAGCTACTGGGTGCTTCTCTGTCTGTGCATTGGATCAGCATAATCCTCCCCCGTTTCCTCCCCAGCTTTCTGATTCATCCATCTACTGGGATTATCTACACTCAGCCATGGGCCATCCTAGATGCAGAAATCAACTCTAAATACCATTTTTTCGTGAAGGCAGAAGACATAGAAGGAAAACATAGCTTGGCTGAAGTCTTCATCACTGTCCTTGATGTCAATGATCACTCTCCAGAGTTCAGTGAGAACATTCAGGAAAAAACCATGATTATTGGATCCCCAGTAAAAGTTGAGGTGGGTCAAAATATTGTTGCACTCTGAGATGTGATGGTTCATACTACTACTACTACTACTACTACTAATAATAATAATAATAATAATAATAATAATAATAATAATAATAATAATAATAATAATCTTAAAAGCTAAATAATAGGGGCTGTGTGGCACTTTGGATTCCTCCCCAGAATCTGGTGGTTTGGAAAACATGACAACATGAAAGTAGCCCTTCTCTGCAACTCTTGAAAGCAGCTACATCTTTTCCCAGGATCACCGTTTCTCCATGTTCCTGAGGGAGGAAAATGAAGTGACTTTCAAAGGCACTTTTTTGGAAATGAATCCAAAGCTCTCCACGGCTCAGCTAAATATTATCATATTTCCAAAGGGCAATATTAACTTTTAAGATACAGAATTAGGTGGATGAGAATGGAAGTCATTCTTCTCAATGAGTCGTATCGGTGAGAGCCCAGATCAAGGTCACTGCATTCCTAAAGATACTTAAAAGGATAGTTTGTACTTTCATATAGAGGTGAATAAATGGGAAATACTTATGAAAGCAGAAAACGCTAAGCATGCAGGTAGACAGGAAAGGAAAAGGCCAAAAGGTTTTTGAAAGATCCTTTCTGGAAAGGAGTGAAGGACACAGCAGAGCACTGAGAAAGTTCTCAACTCAGCAGTGAAGAAAGAAATAGTTGAGAAATCTCTCTTTCTTGTCTCTTTCTTGTCTCTCTTTCTTATCTCTCTCTCTCTCTCTCTCTCTCTCTCTCTCTCTCTCTCTCTCTCTATATATATATATATATATATATATATATATATATATATATATGTGTGTGTGTGTGTGTGTGTGTGTGTGTGTGTGTGTGTTTGTGTTTGTGTTTGTGTTTGTGTGTGTATGAAATATAAATCAAATAATATTTTTTAAAAGCTTTGGGTTCCTTCCAGTCTCCCCCTCCCACTATTTCCTCAAATAATGAGGGAATGGTTCCATTTCACCATAATGATTCTTCACCATTGTCATCATGGTCCAATTTTGCAAACTGAGAGAGAAAAAATTGGCAGGAATACGATAGCTATGTTTGAAAAGAAAATGTGATTTCAAATTTCTAATAGTTAAGCTTACTTCCAGAAAACAATTTGATTCCACTTCATAATCTATGTTATACTATGTTCCATGCATAATCTAAAAATGGGTGTGAAATCCGGGTCCCATATTGGGGATACAGTAAATAGTCATTTAGTTAATTTTTCTAGCCTTCTTTAAAATAGACAAACATTTATTAAATAATGATTTTTTTATCAATCTGGGGGAAAAACCACCAACACAGGCAATAGATCAAGATGCAGAAGAACCCAATAACATTGTGGACTACGCCATTATGCAGACTGATCCAGCTGATGTGTTTGATATTGATCAAAGCTCTGGAGAAATTAAACTGAAATCTTACATACGATCCTTGGACGTCATTCACAACATCACCAAGAACAAAGATTGCATTTGGTCAGTGATCATCCAAGCGAAGGATCGAGGGTCTCCATCGTTTAGCTCCACAGCTGTTCTGAAACTTGGCATCAGAGAAGAGGTAAGAGGAGAAAATGGATGGAAAAAGTGGGCAATTAAGGGAAATGGCTGAAAAACAACAGAGAACTGCAGGGTCTACTAATTGTATTAAACTGCGGTTGGGTAACACCTTGCAGTATCATCCAATTGAAACTTTCTCTAGGCTGAGCCCGAGGGAGGGGTCAAAAGCATCATCAGTCATGAGTCCCTGTGTGCTCCACAAGAGATCTGAGTCCAGCCCACCTTGAATGCCTTTTATTCCCACTCATTTCCCTTGACCATTAGTAGGTCAGATTTTTTTAGAGAGCTTTAGCTTGCAATAAATCTTTATATTCATTTGAAGTGCCTGAATCTCCTGGTTTCCCTGGCACTTGACACTTTCTATTTTATTGAACAAGGCAGCTAACAGCCTTCTCTGAAATCATTCCAAAATAATAATAATAATAGAGTTTTGACTTTATTGACCAAATGTGATTGGACACACAAGGAATTTGTTTTGGTGCAAAATAAGATGCCGCTTTGGTCCATGGAGTAGGGTTCTAATCCATTCTACAGTCTGACAGATGTTTGAGATTTCAGTCATAAAGGTGGGGTCAAGACACATCTGGTCTTTATCAATGCTCTCCAGGAAGACAACAGAAGCTCTGAAACTAATAAACAGAGATTTAATCCATCCAGGACATAAACATCTTCTAAGAAGCCTACATAGCTAGGTGATCCAACTTCCTTTGACTCTCTTGAATTGGGGATTTTCTTTGGAGAGGCTCCTGAAATCACCTCTCTTCCTGGATAAGTGATTGCTCTAACTAGGAAGGCCTTTGCTTAGGTTGAGTTGGTTCACAAAAGCAGTGAACAGGAGGGCTAACCCTCCTGTTTTGACACTAATAATGCCATCCCCAGACTATGAGTGACAGTGTCTCAGGGTGAAACTCTGGTTCCATCCATCCCCATTCTTTCTGTCTTAGTTGGTTCACATGTCTACACCTAACTACACATTCTACCTATTAGGACTTCTGTCATGGCCTTAAAAACCCTAAAATGTTGTAAACCCAAAGTAACTTAAGGACTGGTTTCCTCTAAGCCAGCCATTGAAACATGCAGAGGAAACCCAAACTGCTTCCAGTGCAGTTTGAAAGGTGGCTGAAAATGGCTGGCTGAAGAGTCTTAAGAACATTGTGACCACCAGAACTATAAGTTCCCTCTCTTAGGTCCAATTAAACTCTTCTCTTTCCTCACGAATTCTGGAGTAAAAACTGGAATTGCATACTCCAGGAGCAATAGTTGAGTTATGAACCTATTTTGTATCTGATTTTTTTTTTTTACACTCTGATTCAGTGAGTGATTGTTAAAGCTAGTTCTCTTTGTTATGTTTGTTTCCCTTCTCTCTCTCCATTTATTCAGTATTACATTTTGCATCTTTAATAGTTGTTTTTAACTGAAGAAGCAGCGTATTAATCATAAACCAACCAACACATGAATGTAGATAAAATAGGATAATTACAATACAGACAAGAATTTCGAATGGACACCAAAAAGGCTAGGTAATATAAGGGCATTTATTGAAATGGATTTAAATTATATTCCATCCTATGGAATCAATAGGCCACAGTTTCTCCATGGTGGGTTAAAAAAAAAAAACCTGTCTGCTTTCTGAAAAATTTGTTGACAGAGCGAATGTGAAGGTACCTTAGAAGAAGATCCCTCTCATATATCTGCAGTCTGACATTCCCAGCAACCAAAGCAACAAAGATAAATGACAGAGAACATTTTGGAGTGATTCCGTAGGAAGGGCTCACCTGTCTCTCTCTGACCCTTGGTTTATATGAAATGGCCTTCTCATTCCTCCTAGCAGAAAACGTATAAAATTGTAGACATTTATGACAAGAACACTCCTGTCTTCCATTCCATGGGCTATATGCCACTTTTATATATTCTATTTATTATCCGTAAGTTGACACAAGGTTGGTCTGATGTCAACAACTGAGCTGTTGACAGAGTTTTCCAAGATAGCAAATCGGATTTAATAAATGAGCAATAAAAGATGCCATCCACTCAAACACTGGTTGTTTATAATCCACGGGTTGAGCTGGTGAGCCCATTACCTTATCTTTTTCTGCCCTTTTAGCAATAACATCAAAATCTTCCCTTTTTTTAATGGGTTGGGCAAAGTCTCAATGGAGGGAAAGTATGTTATAAACCTTTGTTTATTATGCCAGAGGAATTTGGCAGCATTGCTATCAGAAGAGAGGAAGCTGTTCTAGAGGCATTATTTACATGAGCCCCGGTGGTTGGGATGCAGCCTTGCAGGCTGATTCTGCCCACTGCCAGGAGTTCGATCCTGACCGGCTCCAGGTTGACTCAGACTTCCCTCCTTCTGAAGTGGGTCAAATGAGGACCCGGACTGTTGGGGGCAAATAATATTAATAATATTAATAATAATAAGCACTGGGAAGAGAGGCACATGAGACTAAAGGCCATGGCGACTGGGGGCATCTCTGGGGCTGGGAACCTCCCGTCTTTGCCTCCACTATTGTTGACAAGGGTTTATTTTTCCCTTGTTTATTTCCTTATTCCAAGGATGAGACTTTGTCCCACTGGTGAATGTGCTCCTTCCTTATTCCCAGAGCCATCTTACAGGTAATCCTCAACTTACAACAGTTCATTTAGGGACCATTTGAAGTTACAGTGGCACAGGGGGAAAAAGTGGCTCATGATCCTTTTTCACACGTGTGACCGTTGCAGCCTCTCCAGGGTCCTGTGATCAGGATCTGGATGCTTATCACTCTTGATTCTCATTTATGACGGTTGCAAAAGGGTCATGGGATTCCCCCCTTTTGCGACCTCCTGGCAGGTAAAGTCAATCAGGGAAGCTGGATTCACTTAACAACTGGGTCACTAGCTGATCAACAGCTGGGATTGGCTTAACAACTGTGGCAAGAAAAATCATAAAATGGGGTAAATGTCTCATTTAGCAACAGAAATTTTGGGCTCAGTTGTGGCCATAAGTCGAGGACTACCTGCATTTTGCTTTCAGACCAAATCAAGGATAAAGTCTAACTTTTAGGCCTGGAAAGGTTGGTGGAGAGTATCTGCCATCTGCGTGAATGGGTCCCTCTCTCCCGTCCCTCTAACCCTGGAGGTCTCCGCTGCCACGTACAGGGGGGGAAATGGAAAATATCCAGGCTCCATCCGGAGACCGAAATCCAAGAAATTATTCAGAGAGCCCCACAACACCCTCCGTGTTAAATTGCTGGACAAACTCTTCATCCGTTTGTCTTTAATGCGATACCTTGAGAGGCTGTAGAGCATATTTGTCATAGGGGGGAAAAAGAAAAACCCTGCCTCTTCAACTAAAATGGATTATCTGAGTGTGAAGGTGGCTTTTTTTATTTTTGTCAGGGTCTGTAAAAGACTACTAGGGAAACAGAAGACGCTCAATTTCAGCCACCAAAAATTGATTTGACAGCCTGAAAGTATAATAATTGATATGGAAAATTCAGCGATAATGCTTAACAAATCCTCTTCACTCTCGCTCTCAAAAAATGGTTTTGTTTTCTGGAGGTGTAGAACTCTGGAGAGGATGAAATTCCTTCCATATGTGAAATTACCTCAGTTTGAGTCCAGTTTGTGAGGGAATTCCCCAGAGAGTACAAGGGAATATAATCTACTGATCTTGAACAATTTCTGTAGAATATCGTTCTCCTGCCCCTCTAAACTCCAGCTTCTTTGGGTTAATTTGTAGACTACTCTAGATGTGGTTGCTCTTCTCTAGAATTTTCCTGGAATATTTCTGTTCTCAGTTAACAAAATCTGCCAGCCTTGCCTAGCAAAGGTCAATTGCTGCAATTCATCCTGGGTGAATTGCTTCGTTATACAATGGCCCTCCTAAAACTGCCAGGATTCTCTTCAGGCTGGTGGGAAGTTTTACATCACTTCCACACCCAGGGGAAGCCCCCCCCACCCCCCACCCATAAAACAAGGTCTCCATCCCCATTTGCTCTGGCAGCTGCCCCTAAGGGCAAACTCTTGGCTTTGGGGAATAAACATTTCTCCTTTCCTCACAGCTGTCCGGATTTTGTTTTTAATTTTTCCAGCCCAAGTTGGAACCCCAAATTGATTCTCCTGATAGGCTCCATGATCTTTCAATCTGAGTGCCAAAAATCAAGATGGTTTGGAATATGGTTGGTCCATTCTAGCCGTCGCAGGTTTGGGACCAATGAAAGTGGAATCTCCACCCTGGTCGGCAGGATGTCATCTCTTCCCTTTGTGCTCTTTTGCAGATGTTTCACACGGGGCCAATGGCTGCCTTTCTGCTGCAAACCAAAGACAATCCAATGAAGGCCATAGGAGTCCTGGCGGGCCTCATCGGGGTCATGGTCATGGCCATCCTCTTCATCTCCACTGCCATGTTCTGGCGCAATAAAAGGTCTCCCAGGATCATGCCGGCACGGCGGATCATCAAAAAGAGGCCGAACTATCAACCCCGAACCCTCCGGATGGAGTGGTTGAGCTTCAAGAAGTTCTCCAGCAAGGCGGCAGAGAAATTCGCGGTCAAGGAGGACGCCATCAGCTTGCAGAACGAGAACAGCAACAACAGTTCCCAGGTGCCATCTCTGCTGCCACCCCCACTGCCTTCTGGGCTGATGCCCCCACCAGCCCCGCTCTTCAAGGTCCAGGAGCCCCCCTGGACACTGTCCACCGTTTCGGGATCCCTGAGCCCTAAGTTGGTAAAAAAGCAGGCAAGGAAAAAAGCAGGGGCTCTCTTCGCAGCCGACACGGCTCTGGTATCCGAGCTCAAGGAGAGATTGGAGATGAGAAATTCAGCCATCGGTCAGCCTCACATTTGACGCGAAGCTCTGTGGGGTATACAACTTTGTGTATTATTCCAAGACTACGGTGTGGCCTGTTATTTTGCATCTCTGTACTGTTTTCCCATTGTCCTCAAGCTCTGAGTGACCTGGTAACAGCCTTTTGTGCACTTTGATCTGATTGGATTGCATGCCATGCCTTATCCTCTTTGCTTTGCAACTGTTTCTCCTTTTGAAGATTGTGATAGTGTCTCATGCAGATTTGTTACCTTTTCAGTCCAAATTACTCACCCAAACTAGAGAGAGAGAGAGGGATGGAGGGAGGGAGATTTTTTGCTGCACCCAGAGAAATGTATGCAGATTCTGGCCAATCTTGTTTAGGGGTTTTCCAGTGATGTAAAAAAAAAAAAGACTTTGAAAGATGCATAAAAACTAATTTCATTTTAGGAACTTCTTGCATGCTAGATGACTTCCTCTGAAATTTGATCTAAGTCCTGAGTCCATTCGCCTGTCCCACCAGATTGGGGCATGATTTGACAGTATCCATAACTAGGTGCAAGTCAAGAAATATACTTGCTTACATCATACATATATTTCTTCTGTTCATACAATTCTCAAAGGCTGCCTGGAAAAGTCCCTCCCTGAAGTTTTCTTGACCAGGTTTTTTAGGGTGGTTCACCATTGCCTACTTCCAAGGGCTGAGAGAAAGTGACTGGCCCAAGGTTGCCCAACTTGGCTTCATGCCTAAGACAGGACTCCAACTCATGATCTCCCAGTTTCTAGTCTGATGCTTTAACCACTACATCATCACGCTTGTTCCAAAGGTGTTTTTTCCAAAAGGCAACTGGACTTACTTGGTGTTTTTTTTTTTTTTTTGAAAACATTTGCAGAAGAAACTTCTTGGATGAAAAGCAAAATGTTTTTAAAGGGAAAAAAACAAGTAAGTCCAGTTGCCTTTTAGCAAAAAGCACCTTTGGCATGATCTGCTTTCCCTCAAGTTCTCAAAGGTAAGTTTTGAATGTACAATGTGAGGAACCACTACAGAAAATGAGAAGCAGCAATAGATCCAAACTGGAAGCCACAACAGACACCACAGTGGACCACGTGAAATGGCCTGGGATGTGCTGACGATTTGAAGAATGGCAGATGGCGGTGTTTGAAGAAGTGGTGATGGTGGAGATGAGATTTAAACAGCTCAGAAGCCACCTGATGGCTAATGGCTCTGGGCAGCTTATGATTCAAAAGTAAAATGGACTTCCAGTTTGAAGGGCTTCGGCGACAGACAGAAATCCACAATCATGCATGGTTTCTGTCTGGGCTCACCACTGGAGCACCCCGAGCCGGCTGGTTTTGGGGCTAAGCCACCCCGTAGAGGTGGTGAAGAGGGGGGAGACTGCCAGCAGGGTTGAGGAGAGCTGCATCTCTCCTCCTCCGCTGGCCATTACTCCCTTTCCCGAAGGCGGTTGCAGCGGTGCTCAGAAATGGCCACCACAAAGAAGAACTTGACCGGAAAAGAATGTGCAGGAGGAAGATAAGAAGTGAAAGTTTTGGCTGACCAGGTTAAATTGTAAAAGCAACAACCAAGGTACCCTGGAATTTAAACTTACAAAAAATAACATATAACATACTTATAATATATAAGTATAATACTGGAAAGCAACAGAAAAGGGGAATACATAAGAGGGAAATAGAGATAGAGAGACAAGGGGGTAAAAAGGGGAGAGAGAAGAAGAGAGGGAAGAAGGAAAGAAAAAGAAGTTACAAAGGACCGGAGCAAGAGATAGAGAAACAGGACCTATTTAGAGATAATGGGTGAAAATCTAACTGAAAAAGGGATTCTGTAAAGGTACATAAGATTGTATTGTTATATTAGTAATAGAAATAACTTTAGAAAATTGGAAACAACGTATGATTAAAATGAGGGATAAAATAGTTAGTGTAATTTAGTGAAATGTTTGTGAATAAAATAAGTGAAATAAAATAAATGAGAAAATTGAATTAGGAAGGAACGGGAACATTTTAATTAGTTAATGTTTTATAAAAAATAAGTGAAGAAGGGTGGGGATTAACTATGGAAAGCTTATAACTGTTCCCATAAAAGTATGATATTTAATTGAAAAGTAATGTTAAAGATGTTAAGACTTTAATGAATATTAATATTAATGATAGAATTGAATTGGAATGGAATGTTGTTTTGATTATATACATTTATAAAAAAAATTTCTTTTTCTAAGAATACAGTATGTATTTTAAGAATGTACCAAGCAGAATCCGAATGGAAGTTATGTATTATATTGAATGTTACAACTTTAGGGAAAAGATATAAAGGCATCATACTCCAATCAGTAACTACAGGAGAAATTTTGTTTAATGAGAAGAGATAATAGATAATTGAAACAGGACAGACAAAAAATATAAATACAATGATTTGAATTGAGATGAGATAATTAAAATAAAATTGAGAAAATTAAAAGAGGGGAGAAGCTATGCAGAAAATGTAAAATAGTAATAAGATATGGAATAGAATATAAAAATGAGCATGAACTTGAATTTGTGTCTGTACGAAGAAATGTAACCCGGGATTATGCTGCTTTCAAAAAAGATGTTTTATTTGTATTTTTTTTTCTCTTTGTGAAAACTCAAATAAAATTTACAAAAAAAAAAAAAGTAAAATGGAAAGAAACAAAACACACAAGAAACCATAAGCAGACATATAATATGTTAATAATGTTATATATTATAAGATAACATATAACAAAAGCAAAACTCCATCCAAAAGTGCCCCCAAAGACCTGGACAATAGCCAGGCCTTTCACAGCTTCCCGAATTGTGGAGTTGTTGATGCTCTCTGAGCTTGGCTATTTGCTTGCAGACATTTCATTACCCAGCTAGGTAACATCATTATGACTTGTGAGTGTGGAGTTTGTTTCCTGTCAATACACAGTCGCTTGTCCTGGTAGGGGTGTGGTTTTCTCCTTGGTAGATTTCTAAGGAGAGTCTCAGTCCTCCAGGTTATGGATTGTCCCAAAGGTGCTTTTTCAAGTGCGTTGTTGTTGTTGTTGTTGTTGCTGTTGTTAAGGCATTTCACTTCTTATCCAAGAAGCTTCTCCAGCTCATCTTCAAAGGAAAACCAGAAAGTCCGGTTGCCTTTTGAAAATGCATTTTGGGGACCTCCTTGGTAGGTTCTTGATTAGAGAATTGTTTCTTGCTTGGAAAAAAAGCACTAATCAATAATAATCTAAAGCAAGCCAGCAACCAAGCTCAGAGAGCCCCAAAGACTCCACAGTTGAACCCCATAAGTGGCATATATTCTCTTCACTTGGAATTTCCTGAACCTCATCATGGTGGGAAGAGATTATTGCCAAAGAAAATCCTGTTTGGGATGATGTACTCCAAACACTTCAGGGCAGACTCATTTCTACACATAGTGATGCTCCAAGCAAGTGATCTAAAGTGTTTACAAAACCAAATTCTCTGTCTTTTTTTAAAAAAAATTCTTCTTCCCACTATGTATAAGCAAATGGTCTCCACAAGGGAGATCATAGCCCAACCCACTGAGTGGCAACCCTTTTTTTAACTTCCCACCCACAAATATCTGTGTCAGCAAAGCAGCTTTGAATACTTTTTATAAAAATCCTAATTAAGGAATTATTCAGTTTATTTTACTAATTGGGCTTGGGAGGTAAAAATTTAAGGTGTTTTATAGAATGGGCTCAAAGGCGTCTCTAATGCTAAATCACGGCCAAAGAGGGCAGCTCTGTTGGGAAAGCATTGGTGGAAGGGATTGACTTAAAGTGGAGGTTTAAACACAGAATAGCAGAGTTGGAAGGGCCCCTGGAGGTCTTCTAGTCCAACCCACTGCTCAAGCAGGAAACCTTAAACCATTCCAGACAAATGGTTGTCCAATCTTTCTTTAAACCCCTCCAGAGCCCCACAATCTCTGGAGGCCACTGATTCATGGTTCGGTCTGTCAGGAACTTTCTCCTTATTTCTAGGTTGTTGTTTTTTCCCCTGGATTAGTCTCCATCCATTAATTCTTGCCCTGCCTTCAGGGGCTTTGGGGTATAGGTCGCCCCCCTCAAATACTGGGACATGGCTATCTGGTCTCCCCTAGTGACATGGTGCGGGTTCGAGATGAAGAACGGATGGCTCCCTATCTTCCTCTGGGATTTCCAAGGAAGGATAACAGTGACCGGGTAGAGAGAAACACGATGGGTTCTAATGGCATCCCTTCCAATGACATACTTGATCATTGAGTCACTAACTCCAGATTCAGGAGAAGATTCTTTGACTGTGTCACTCTGTTGCCCAAGATATTGGTTGAAGGGGTTCTATTTCATGTAGCCCTGGATCAACTTCTGCCCCCAATGACCTGTAGAAAGCCAATGCAAGTCAAGGTTAGCAGACTTCGCAGGGGGCAACGTCTGGTTGGTTTTAATCTCGGCTGGAAATCTAAGCAGGTTTGGCTTGATTAGGACTTGGAAATCAAAAAATCTCAGGCTCATAAGCTAGAATTGGGAAATCAATCAGACACACCACAAATCAAACAGCAATCCCAAATCACTTTAATATTACTGTCAAGAAAACCATTTGGTGGTATCCTTCCAAGAACTCAGGTTCTGTTTGAGCACATCTTTACCAACCCAAAATAAGAATATTTCAAAAGAGATACTATTCTGAACGTCAAAATAATTTTAAAATATTTAGGAGGAACCAGTTTTTATGACTTATTTCCAATACATGGCTGTTCTTTATGGAGAAACTGTTGTTCTTTATCAAGTAAGCACTTAGTGATTTCATTAATAAAACTAATAAAATGCATCTCCCCTCTCATGCCGATGTCTTGCTTTTCACCCCATTCTCTAGCTACGTCTCAAGGCTGTTGACAACTTCAACAATACAAAACCTTGATTTTTTTTTAATTAGCTGGCTTTTTTTCAGCTAAATAAGACTTGCTGCTATCACACATGCTCTGAATGTGAAAATGTAAGACTTGTTGGAGCAGACGTCTCTAAGAACAATAATTAAGAAAAATAGTT